TGAAGCCACGAGTGTTTTCTAGATGTGCGGTATTCTTGTATATAAGACTGCCAAGAAGTGATTGCAACAATGTGAATTGATTGCAGACAGAGATAGAGACGGGAAAATTGAGTCAAGCGCGTGAATCTTTCATTGTGAATTATAGCATTTGTTTAATTTATAGCGTGACTGTGGAAATTAAGTGTATTGCAAAGTTGTATTGAGAGAGAATAAACTAGTTTTATTTAAGAGGAGACTTGTATTGCTAAAGTTTTTCTGAAAGAATTTTTATGGAAAAATAACAAACGAACACAGAGGAGTAACAATATAGAAGTATGATTATTGTAGACTAACAGTTCACAGATATTTGATATAGCATTTTAAGATCACTTTGATTATCATTTATCAAGTTTTTCAAGTCTGTTTATATATTTTAGATTAATTAAAATAGCATTCAGCAGGATGATTTCACACTATATAATTTATACTTTAGTATTATACCTCTATATGAAAGATTGAAATCTTTTTAAAATAACTAGAAGAGTGAAACTGATATTCAGAACTACTGCAGACTCTTAGATTGCTTTAAAAAATAAATTTGTTTCTTGCATAATTGAAATTTTTATTTTATATTTGTTATTTTTAATCAAGGTTTTTTTGTGTGTAAGAAAACTAGTTATTATCCTAAAACAGCTATACAAAGTAGATGTCTGTAAGTATTTGATTGTGAAATTAATTTTGATGACGGACTGTAGAAGTAGCATATGGTTTATAGGATGCCTATTCTGGTGATTCCAGAGATGGATAGGCTATCATATGTGAATAAGTTTAAAATATCTCTTGAAAAATAATGTTCAAGGGTAATCTAATTGAAGTATTCACAATTGTTAAGATAATTTCTAAGATTGAGGCATCAGATCTGTTTGTCAGTAGGGCAAAGGAGCATAAATATTAGAAGTTATATACATTGCCAATTGAAGCATTTTTATTTTTCCAATAGATTGGTAAGTCTGTGAAACATTCTGCTATTTAGATTAGTAGTAACTACAACTAAGGAGTGTTAGAAATAGAATGGTTAATAAAACATAATATATAAACAACAAGGAACCACATTGTCCTTCAAAGTTGTCCTTGAGAAAAGTAAAAATTTAAACCCACCCTTTACTTTCCAGGAAATCATTAATTTCCCTCTTTTACACTTCTGTAAAGTGCTGCCCTCTACTACTGTCAATGGCTACTTATTCAATAAGTCAGTTGTCTTCTTAGAAAACAAAAAGTTATCTTAACTGAATCCCAACTTGTCCTTTTCAAATCTCAAATTTGTGTCTTGTTATTCTTATATCTTTAGAATATAGCATAAAAAAATCAGAAGCATTAATCCTATTGATTCCTGGACAATCTTATAAACTTCAATAAAATCATCTATTACCCTTCTTTTGTCAAGAAAAAATAAGTTGAGAGATCTTAACCTATGCCTATAAGATAACACTTCTATCTACAGAATTATCCTAGTATCCCTCTGAATCCTGCCTTATATACTGTAGCTTAGGGAGACCAAAAATGTACACAATATTCCAAGTGAAGCCTAACTAGTGATTTATATGTTGATAAATATTTTTGATTTGTAATCAGTGTGTGTCTAAGTATTTCCTAAAATTCTATTAGACATAACTTCAATAGCTTGAGTGACTTTTCCACCACTATTCCAAGATTCTTTTCTTCAATCACACTATTGAGTTTGTTACAATCTATATTAAACATTTACCCGAGTTATGATAACTCAAATGCATTACCCTGCATTTACTGTAATTAAAGATCATTTGTCCAGCTTACCAATTGATGTAGGTCATTTTGTAGTACCTCATCATCTTCGATATATCTAGAAATACCTAAAACTTCAATGTGATCAGCAAAGTTTACTAATTTACTCATTATGCTTTTTTTTTATTATCACTGGTGTAAATAAGAAAAAGCAAAGGCCCAACAGTGACCTTTGAGGTACTCCACTAGTAACAAGGGTCCAGTTTCAGTGAGACTACATTAATAACAACCTTTTGCTTTCTAGCTCCCATCCAACCACTCTGCAATTCAGTTTAATCTTTTGTGTAATGCCTTATGAAAAGCTTTTTAAAATATTAAAAACACCAATCTGGATAACAAGTAGCTTACTTCAAAAAAAAAAAAAAAAAAAGATAAATTAGTAATGCAAGATTGCCCTTTGGTGAATCCTTATTAATTTTCATATATGATACTTAAGTAGACCTGGGTGATTAGTGAAATATGCTAATTGACTGATCACCAGGCTCATTAATCAGTTATTCACACATTAGGAGAAAAACAACTCGTAATGCTAAAAACCTGGTTTCAATACTCACAGTGGGCGAAGCACAGATAGTCCATTGTGTAACTTTGCCTTTAGCAACAAATATAAGGCAGTATTTTGATTTTTTAGATAGATGGAATAATTGGAAACCCTAATTTCAAGTAGTTGGTTTTTTCATGAATTGTACCATTAATTAATTAAGCCAAACAAGCTTGAATTAATCTAAAATAATAATAAAAAAATCATAATTGCAGCATTTCAATTACTGGATAGTTGGGATAATCAATAAGACTGATTTTGATTAGTTGATTATTTTTGTGATGTCAATCAATTTAATCATTATTTTGATTCATCGGTTATTTTATGTGACACTAGTTGATGTATTTGATGTTCATAGATACTTGAGGTAATTGCTCAGTTATATATTTCAGAAAATAATTGTATAAAGCTTCTTTTATCTGATTCTTGAATTTTCCATCTACACAGCTACCTGGCTGATAATTTCCAGGGCAACTCTTTATCACTCCTCTTTAAAAATTGGAGTAACGAAAGCAACTCTTGAATCCTCACGCACCTGCCCACCCTCCATTGTAGAAGTTTACTTTTTAAGGCACTGGTGAGAATTTTCTACCCACCTGAGAAGATAGAAACAAAGTGATCTTATTCATTAGCTGTTTACACATATGAAAATATATATCTAACCTATATAAAAGCCAGTGTGTGTCACGAAACATCAAGCTTGATTTCTTAAAATAGGAGGAGTCATAAAAGCCAAAATGTATATATCCAGATATAATAGTTCAATTACTGTCTGCCCATTATGATTTTAGTGATGGGGATACAAGGGGACAGTGAGGGGGGGGTGGGTGTTATAAAATTTTATAAGTGTAGGGAGTGTTGGTATAATAAGTCTAAAGTAAAGATGTTGTGTGAGATCACGTAGCCTAGAGCCAAGTGCATAAAATTTAAAATATTGATTCAATTTTAAGCTTAAATTGCTTTTGAATTAAGCTTTTTTTTTTGTTATATCACCAACATTTGTAATAACTAAACAAACCTCTTTAATCAATGGAGACTCTAAGTTAAGAAATCAACAGATATTTTACCAGTTTTATTGTCTGTACACTTCATTTTATACTTTCAGTGCTTAGACTAACAAAAATATTACATTATACTTTTGTTGCTAAGCAACATGACATGAAAGCCAATGTTGGAACACATGTAATCAAAATGCACTGGCTTTTCTATATATTAGAAGTTGTTAATCTAACTAATTTTGTAAAATTGATTTATTTCACTTAGCCATGAAATGTGAGGTTAGGGCATACTATGGGGTGGGGGTGGTAGTACTTGCTCTGCCATTTTTGTAATATGTTGATCAACATTGGTTCAAAAGCTGCAATTTTTCAATCCTATTTGGTAATGAAAGATGGAAAATTGCCGGTGCTACTATAGCGTGCGGTCTACTGGGACTTTTACACTTAGTTAAATAGACAGGTCAAGTCAGGTCATGTGGGGACTGCTATGATCCCTCTGAGGTATGAGTAACATGGTCCGGTGGGTCTTGGTAGACTACGGATACTGCGATAGATCGCACGCTATAGTAGCACCAAATTGCCTTTAGCAATGATGAAAGAAGATGGATTGATACAAACAACAAGTTGACATAAACCTCCAGCAAAAGGAAAGTTGGAAGTTACATTTATGGTAGGAAACTTATCTATACCTCATGATGTGTGGATAATTTACATCAAGGAAAGGTGCTTATTGGGAACTATCTTCATGTAAAGACATAGATGTGAGGTTAGTCTAGCTTCACAGTCTATGACTAGGAAATCCTTCAGCACTACATGACTATTGCTACACCATAGGATGAACTTCTAGTAATAATAAAGAGGAAGGTCATTGTATCACCAAAAGGTGAAATACTTGTACCAGGACTTGTTAGAAAGACATTTACATCTAGCGACTGGGGTGCAGTAGAACCAAATACTTCAGTGTATCCTTGGGGATTAATGGTTGGAAGAACTCTCATGGGCCTGAATAATAAAGATATCATCATTAGGGCCATGAACACAATGAACCATAAAATTTGAATCAAGTCTAGATGAGACATTGCAAGATATGAAGCTGTACAGAAAGAATTTTCACATTAAATATCATCAGAAGTGATAAACTTTAATGCAAGATGTAGGAAGTTTGATGTCAAATCCTCACATAAGTATAACTTACCACCTCACATACAAGAGCTCTGGAGGTCTTACAGCTGATTAATCCCATAGATTATATGACTTGCTCATGGAGTATCAAAATACCTTCTCCTGTGGATGTGGTGACTTAGACTAAACAAATAAAATACCTCACAAGATTGATACTGGAGGTGCAGCTCCAGTATGTAAGTTAGCAACTGAAATGCAACTTACTGATCCTGTCTCTTTGTATTTTGATTACCTTAAAATCATAACTTAGCTATTTCAAAATGATAACAACCTCATTCTAGCACAGTACCACAACACTTAAAAGATTTGTATTATTTTTTTTTATACTAAACTATACACAAGGATGAAACTATCATAGAATGTAATTTTATCAAATTTTCATTATGTGAGTAATACATATTTTTAAGAGTGTAAATGCAATTGTAGAATCATGCTGGATAAGGGAATTATTTTTTATTTTTCCAGATAGTTGCACCTGTGATTCACTCTTTGAAAGAATATCTAAACTACTCAGTTTTTGGCCATCATGACAGAAGTGGAAAATGACAGAGAGTCCAAACCTAGGGCTGAAGAAAATCTAATTTTTGAAGACAGTAACTACATTGTTCAAACACTATCAAATCTGAATAAACTGAGAAAAAATAAGCAATTCTGTGATGTTGTTTTGCAGGTAATAACTTTTTTCTTACATGTAAATGATTCAGAAATGAACTTAAAGTGGTAATATATTTAGATTCACATAAAAATTAATACATATTCCATCCATATAAATAAAACAGTGACATGAAATACTTAGTTTTGCTTGCACATGTATACGTGTGTTGTTTTGTGTGACAAACTATCAACGAAAATGACTGAAAATAGAACAATAATATATCGAAGTTTTAAGTATATACAGTATGGTTAAATTAGAAACTAGACTGCACTACTTGTCAAAGTAGACCTGAATGTTCATTTGATATAGTAGGCTAGTTTTACTTTATTTTTTAAACAATAATTTGTCAGTATTAATACCCTTATCATCCACTATTTAAAACTTTATAAATTTCAGGCCTAATCTTCTTGGGTAAAAACTAAAATGACTATCTCTCAGAAACATATAAGGGAGTGAAAGTATGATTTTTTTATTTTTCCTTTTGCTATCTAATTAATTATATAATAATTGTTTTGAATGTGAGGTTAAATAAGAATATGCAAATTCCTCAAGAAATGAAAGTGTAAAGTGTGTTAAGTACACAAAGTTCATCTTTTATAATAATGTGGCTGTTTGTATAGATTATGTGTATCAGTAATTTTAATAAAAACATTAATTAATAATTTTGTTTTTTACATTAGTACCAAATATAAAGAGTGTGGGTCTCGTATTGGAAAGCTGGTCAGTATACTCATAATCCATAAAATAAATATTGTATTGATTCAAAAGACTGAGGCCTATTAATAGATTGCTAGTTTGACATTTTATCCATAGTGAATGGGTAATAAATGTAAAAATGTTTAATTACTCTACCCTTTAACTTTAATTTGTGTAAGATGAGTGTATTTGTACCTCAATAAACCTATAAGGTAATTTTATTTAATTGCTGATAATAATGAAAATAAGTAATGTATCTGATGCTTGTTATTTACGTAAATTATCAGATACTTGGGTAATAATACTTGCAAAGTTAAACATGTTGCTGAAACAAACATGGAGCAATCTATTGTCTTAGGAAAAGGAATGTGACATTATATCTATTAAAGGTACTAACGTTGCACAAGACTGTTATAGAATAGTTCATACATATTTATTACATTCTTGTAATCCACTGATGGATTATGGAACATGTAACTTAGACTGTAATTAATATATTTCAGGTTAATCATCCCGATGAAGCATAGATCATTTAAATTTTATCTTTGATTACATATGAAATGAGGGAGTAGTTTAAACCTAACTGGGTTTAACACTGCATTGTAGATAACAGACTATACCTGTGTCAGATATCATACAGTTGGTAGACTATATATGTAGGAATGACCAAGGTACTCAATAGGTAAAATACAAATATGCATGCTAAAAAAATCAACAATAACAGAAAGTTTTACTTTAAAAGATGATTGCCACTCACTTTCATTTGTTTCTCTTACAACAAGCCCAAAAAACATGGCAAGAAACCATTGCGAAGATGCCGAACCAGAAAGTGACCGACCCATCAAATTTTTCATCTTACTTTTTCTTGTTTCAGTTGAGCTATCTACAATTACTTTACCACTGACATTGGTTTCAACCTAAATCCACTCTATGTGTTTCTGAGAAGTGCATGATGTCATTGCGTAGTCGTAATAATAATAACAATTCTAATTTAAAGAATTTTATCATTACCCCTTGAAATTAGCTTTTTCTTCTTTTTTTTATACAGAAATCTGGTGTCCCTTTAAAAAGCTTAAGAACAGGGTGAAATAGGAATTACCAGCCAATAATATATGCACATTAGGTGACTGTAACATGTAGATACTCAATGATGCTCATATATTATGTATGAAGTGAGGGAGTAAAAAAAAAAATAAATCCACGTCACAAATCAAGTAATAGAAAAACATTTTGTAAGTTTAAGATGACGTATGGATGGCAGTGCCATAAAAGAATGCAAACAGGAACTTAACTTTCAGTATTAAAATTTAATGTTACACTGTAAAACGTATACTTGTCTTTAATATTACTGCAGTTGAAAGTTATATATTCCTGACTGCTGGTATGAAATTAGTTTATCATAATATCGTGGTCATGTCAGAGCAGGCATCAATGTAGTGTTAGTAAGAGCTTAGGACTTACATAGAAGGAAAACCAAGTTGAGTCAAAACATGTCTTGATTATTACAGATTCTCACTATGAGGTTGATCGAATTGACTGACCTTGTAACCATTTTGTACTTGTGAATTTAACAGTGTAACATTAAATTTTAATATTGAAAGTCATGTAGGGATGAACAGCTATACATAGATCATCCCTACATCATTTAACATGTGCAAAATGTTTTTGTTACTTAATACAGGCAAAAACCAAAAGATAATGCTGTCAGGACTGTTGCCCAGGAGAGTAACAGTATACAGGAAATTTGTCTTCATTTTAACTTTAAAATTGCTGATTGGGGTCCAGACTACTTTGGGTTCTTAAACATATTTTTCTGAACTATTTGTGCACCAAATTGTTTGTAGGTCCAGGACTGTTGCTTACTGGATTCCTGATAACATACAAGTCACAAAAAGAATTTAAAGAAAAACACTGTTAATATTGAAATAATTCCCACTAAATATTTATGGAGTTTCTGGTGTATTTAACTTTGAAAATGTAACAGACAAAAAAATAAAAAAAAAAGGTACCAATATGTGAACCCCACCAGTAATGAATGGTATGTACTCGATTCTAATTTGAAGATAAATGTGGACTCTCACATTTCACCCATCGTTATTATTCGACATCATTGTCATTCATTTACAGTTAAAGTTTGAATTTTATGAGGTGTGATTATATTTATTAAAAATTTTAGAGCTTATGATGAGTTTCTTGAATATTTAAATTTCAAAACCAAGTTTACATGTATTTATTTTTGAATGCCAACATCTGTGGGAAATAGATTAAGTTAATAAATTTCACAAACATATATTAAAGTTTTAAAATCTTTCATTTTATTTTTCATATAAGAAAAAAAAAGTTATTACTTATAGTTCATGTCCAATGCCACAGAGTGTAAGTTATTAATGAACTTAGCCACTATTAATAATTATTGAAAAAAATTCAAAATTTTAATTTTTTGAACATTCAATTGTTTATTGGTACTGTTTTTTTTACTATTGAAAGAAATTGTAAGTAGATTTTATTAATTCTATTTTATTCCACAATATTAGATTGGAACAGCCCAAGACATTCGAGAGATACATGCTCATCGAGCTGTCCTGGCCAGTGCTAGTCCTTATCTTTTTGAGCTTTTTGCTGCTGACCATAATGGTGGTCATGTGTATCAGTTTAAGAGCAATGGTAGTTTTGACTTTGATTCTTTTGAAGTGCTTGTGGAGTATGCTTACACTGCTAGGTTAGTGCAATAACTAAATAATTGCTATTAAAATTAGAAAATTTTACATATTAACTTTTTTGCCTATAACTTGTAATAATTTGTTAATGCTGAAAGCAAGCTTGAAATAATGTATTTTTGTACTGTTATTTCTCAAATGGTTTTTAAGTAACAATTTACTAAGTTTATGCTTGTATTGATAAAAGTTGAAAACAAAATTGAAATCATTTTTTATTTGCAAGTATAGCTAGAGTTTAACTGAACTGCAGTTCTTACCATGTATTGTATCATAGATTTTAACTTGCATCTAGATATATGCTAAACTGCTAGAATTTAAATACGATATGCCTCCTTACAACAGGTTAAGCAGATTTTTATTGGCATGGTAAACATGTATTTAAGTCTAATTTGAATGCCAAAATTGTCACTCAAACATACCTGAATTATTAAAATTAATTGCATAAAAGAAACCTTAACTTCCAAGTTTGATCATGAAATACTGTATTGCATTATAAGGCTAGCACACCATCTTGAAAAATTATAATTTTTCTGAAGATTGTTTAGAATTCAAACATAATTCTTCCAACCAGGGAGGTGTATTAGTCAACTATCATTTTTTAAAAGCCATAAATCTAATTATTTTATTATTGTTTATTAAAGACAGAATTTGGCAGGAACCGTTAGTTATGTTAATTCTCAAAAGTTGTTCATTACAATTCTTTTCTTGTTAATGCTGGTTTTAAGTAATTTAACTTAAACATTTCAGGGTAGCACACTATTCTGTAAAGTTCAAAGGTGAAATGAAAATTGAGATCAGGTAGAAATTGAACCTGTTACTGTTAACTGAACAAATGGCTTTTCAAACTAAGCTATTATATCTTAACAGCCATAAATCTGGAGTATCTGTCCAGTTAGCATATCAGTGGATTCAAATCCCTCCCCATCTCTTCAAAATTTTAATTTCTTCATAAAGAGTTCACACAAAGCTAAAAATATTTCTGCTTAATTATAATTGTCAAATGTTAAGTTTTATTCGCCAATTGTCAATTAAAGGCTTTTACTTATACTTCTTAATTGTATATACTGTGTTGTTGTTGTTGGGCTGAGGATTCTTCTACAGGGATGTTTGCACTTGTTTTCAAAATAATACATATATTCAGAACAGGTTAAAAGTATGTACAACAAATTCTTTACACTACAGAGATTATAGGCATATCATAAACACTATATATATATATATAGTTCTCTTCTTGTTGTAC